CAGCTGAGTTTCAGAGAGTGCCGATTGAAGGATTCACCATCAAGCTTGTATCAAATCGCGTATAAACATGTAGCCAAGTGAACACAATGCCGTGACCTGGATCATGCTCAAGTGCGATTCTCCGGTCCATGGCCCATCATGCCGAGTGCTTGATCAATTGCCTGGGGGGAGGGCTACTCTTTCAACGGGAGGGAGCGACAGTTCCAGGCTGAATCACGACCGGGAGAGTGAGATCGAGTACTTCCCCAGGGCACAGGAGTTGTGAGGCCCCCCGAGAGCGGGCCACGCGCCGGCTGGCCCTTTCTCCCGAAGGTCTCGCGGGGACGGACGCGGATTGGATTTCGGACTCCGAATCCAAATCCGGCCGGAGGTGGCCCGGCCGGCAGGTCGGCACGTCGGCAGGTCCGGGCTAAGCTTGCGACTCGCTTCAAGGCTCGGAGCAAAATCCGCGGTGAGTGCGCGGACTATTGGAGCTAAAACCGTGAGCTTGGGCAGGTGGGCGGGTGGTTCCCATGCCATGTTCATTTCAATGGCCAATTGCTGCAAATGCAACTGAGCTGCGCAATTCCCACATGAGCCTGGAGCATACTTAACATGGGCCGTCTCCCATTTGTTCCCAGGCTTGAATGGGGTCCGCTTAGTTGATAGCAAGGGACATCAAAGTGCAGCCAATTTTGGAGGGACTTTGCTTGCAATACTCCCGAAAATGCTCGAAGCGGCCTCTCCCATAACAGGAAGGTTTTCCAGAAGATTCAAGTTGTTGGCTTAGCTTGGTTTGATTCGTCCATGCTCTTAAAGATGCAGTATGCCAGGTCCATATATCTTAAAATGGAGGACACGTCCCAAGGCTTGGTTTCCTTGCGGCTCTCCCTGAAAACAAACCCTCAGGGCAACACAAATCTGCTTTAGACATCACCAAAGAGCAGCTCACTGTGGAAGAAGGGCTCGGAGTTGGGGGAACTTGGTTTCAACGAGCCGAATCAGCCCAAAAGTTGCAAAAGTCCGCTGACCATGTTCCCATCTCCCAAGTTTGTGAGTGATGCGCACGTTTGTCTTAGAGTTAGGGACCCCAAAAACTGGTGGATCTTTTTGTCTTTGGTTTCCCTTTTCAGCCGAAAAAAACAAAAAAAAAAAAAAAAAAAACGGGGGGGGGTGGGGAAGTGCGCCCCCGCAGAATTGGACCCCATCCTCGGGGGCCGGTGGCTCGCTGGGGGCCTCCAGGCGCTGACCGCATCTATGAGGAGGTCATGGACCGGGTGCGTGCGCTGCCCCGGTGGACCGGTGGATGGGGATGCTGGGGTCGGGGGTCGGGGCGACGGGGGGGGTGGGTGGGGGTGAGACAGGTTGCGAGGGTGTGTTTTCGTGAGTGTTTTTCTTATTTTTCTCAGAACCCATGGGTGTTAACTTAGGGAGACCAAACAAGTTTTCAGGGTTCCCGAATTTGGGCATCGTTGATCCATTCTTTTCGCCGGTTCTAACAACAAACAGCATGGATTTAGGCTCTAGACCTGTTTTTTTGTCCCAAGTACACACGAACCTTTAGGCTGTCCAGGCGTTTGGGGTCAAGACCATCGCGCTGAAAGGAGACTTGCACCAAACCGCGACCCTGTCCTCCATTCGTGGACCCTCACCAGCGACAGCATCTCCTGTCGTTTCAGGGCCGACTGCATTTGGTTTGGCATGGGAACACAGTTAAAACCGGTGTGAACTTCGTAGATGCGCAAGCCTGAGCCGCACTTTGCTAGTCGGAGCATCTGATTTGGCACCAGGAGCTGGATACATCCTTTGGAAGGTAACTCCCAAAGGCATAGGGACAGTTTGCCAGCCAGGCCTTGCGCTTCTGAGTAAACGTGATATGCGCTACACTGCGGGCAGCTGCAACGTCCGCTATGACCCATCGAGTGGCATTGACCTTTGGTCCCTGAGTCGCAGTGCCGTGGGCTCTTCCACGCTTTCCCATGGCAGAAGCCAGTTTCGTCGGGACGGCCGGCTTTGAGATTTCCCGACTTGGAGGGACCCGGGCCTGGCCCAGCTCTTCGTATGCCTCAAGCGGGGATTTTCGCGGAGCATTCTGTGCTTGTGGCTGCGATGCTTGTGTTTCACTGGCTCTTTGAGCTGATGATCCAGTTTGGCCACGGGCCTGCACGCGGTTGGGCGCCTGCTCCCGCTTTGTATCTGATGATACATGATGATATGTATCCCTCTCTCTCTCTCTCTCTCTGTTTCTTTGTGTATATGTATATATACATATATACACATGCACATGTTTGCATATTTTTAGCTCACTCGCTCGCTCTCTTCCTCTTTCTCTTTCTCTCTTCTTTCTTCTCTCTGTCTTTCTTTTTCTCTCTCTCTCTCTCTTTCTGTCTCTCTCTCTCGCTCTCTCTCTTTCTGTCTCTCTCTCTCTCTCTCTCTCTCTCTCTCTCTCTGTCTCTCTCTGTCTCTCTCTCTGTCTCTCTCTTTCTGTCTCTCTCTTCATCTTTCCCCCCTTCGTTCTCTATACGCTGCCTTTGTACATGTACAACAATCAATAGATAGATAGCCAGAAAATTACACAGATGCATAAATAGGGATACAGGTTTGATTAAAATCTACATGTATGGTATACGTGCCCCCCGATGGATACGCGTGCTTGTGATAGTTTCGGCAGCAGAAGCCAGCGTCAGACGGTTGCACGAGAAGCAGATAGTCAGAGCGCAGCTTGTTTTTGCACGTTTGCCGGGTGAAACGGTGTAACATGCCTCAGGGCCCCCAACAAGGAGGACATGGAAACACCAAAGGCCAAGGCGTAGAACAGTTGAACTTGCAATTTTTGATGTGGAAAAGGAATCCAGTTATAACTCGTCCTAACTCCGTGAGGCTCATTCGAAAACGCAAACACATATAGCAAAAATGCAAAGCAACCTTGGGCACTTGAATACTGTAAGATTCCCATAATTTCTTGGCACCCTCTCAAGAAGGTCAAGCAAATCTAACAATCAAGTGCGAACGCCTTAGCAGAGCACCTTCCAAACAGAGTCAGGGGCTAGCAGGTCTGCAGGAGAAAATGTGACTCATCTGCTTTTCGAGTGGTGTGAGTGATCTGCTTTTTCCTTTGGCAGTGATGAAGGGAAGAATCTCAACGGTTCTTGAACGGTTTGAACTGTTTGTCAAAAGAAGTGTCGGGCTGAACAGTTTGAACCATGTAAACCGTTCCCAAGAGATGGGCGTCCATTCTATGTATGCCCGCTGAAGACAAAGGTGACAGGGGAACTGTTTTATCCGTTTAAGCCGTTTGAACCGAAGCAAGAACCTCCTGGAAGAAACATGGAAGGGGAACCGTTGAAACGTTCAAACCGAAAATCCGTTTGAACCATTAAAGCCCCCTCCTGGCAGAAATGGAGGGGCCTCGACATCTCAGAAGTGAAAAGAGGCTTACACGGTTTAAGCCGTTCAGGCTGAGGCGTAAAAGGTTTAAGCGGTTTAAACGGTTCAGAAGTTCAGGCTCGACATCTGAAGAGCGGTTTTGTTTAAATGGTTCAAACGGTTCAAACGGCCTTTTGAAATGAGATGAAGTCACAGAGGGCTAAGGAAGCAAAGCTTCAGACACAGATGGGTAAAGCAGCAATGCGTGAATCCACCGGGTGGAGGGGGGTGTACCATATTTATACACATGTATATGAAGAAGTATGTATATGCATCGATTCCCACATTTGTAAGGGTTGCCATTTGATGTGTGCATTATGTGCAAACACGGAGGCACCGAATTCCTTGATGCACAAAACAACTGGCCCAGGCCTCGCCCCACAGCTGGCGAGAGAATGGGGTGTCCGCGAGGCGACGCACATTATTTCCCACTTGTGCTTGGGGTGACTGGGCGTGCATGATTTTCGTGGGAATGGCTGCGTGTGTGTGTGTGTGTGTGTGTGTGTGTGTGTGTGTGTGTGTGTGTGTGTGTGTGTGTGTGTGTGTGTGTGTGTGTGTGCGTGTGCGTGTGCGTGTGTGTGTGTGCACTGGTTGTGCTTCTGCGTTAGTTTTCATGCGCGCCCCCTGGATGCGTGGTTGGATCCCGAAGGTCCGAAAACGAAACCCATATGGGCGTATGGGGGAGTGTTTGTCTTGGATGGTTTGTAGGATGCTCATTTTGTAAAAAGGTATCGGACTCCTTCCCACTGAACCTTCACCTTGCTTGCGGCGCGAAGTTCTGCATGCCAGGGTTTGTTTTGGGCACAGGACGGCCGGGAGTAGCAACCCTTGTAGATTGCAGCTTTCTTGGCGTTGGTGCTAGTCGATTTGCGTTTGTTTGAGAACATCTGCCATGACCATTTGCTCTCGGGGAGCAGGCTTTGCATATTTGTGTGACATGTGCGGTCCATGTTTTAACGGAGCCTGGACTAGGTTTTGGACAGTGCCATCAGTGCAAAGCGGCGACAAATTGCATGAGAAGGCTCTTAGAGACCTGCCCAGTTGTCCAATGAAATCCACTTACAAAAGCATGGCCTTGTTCTGAGCGCACTGTCCCCGTTTTGGGGGTGATTCCGGTGAATCTGCATGGACAACGCCCATTTTGGCTCTCTCATGTACAGACAAGCTCATGTCTTGCAAACTTGTCCAGAGCAGAACAAAGCTGTGTGGATAGAATGGGAATTCAGGGGCGCTTGAGCAGCGAACGGCCAACCCTGCCAATAGGAGAGGACTAGTTGGCCAAGAGGCTGGCTTTGCCCACCCAAGGAGACCCCATGCTCGATTTCCGGCCCTGGCAGCTCTGCCGACAGAAGGGAGCCTTCTGCAGTTCAAGAATTGCGTGATCCGTGTTCCTTGGTTTTTTTTTGAATTTTCTGGTTGGGTTTGGAAGGGAACTTGGGTTTGGAAAGCCACTCTCCGGTAGGTTTGGAGTGTGCGGACCAAAAGGTGTGGCGCAATTGCGGCCTTGCTCTCCATGTAAAAATGTGAGCATGCGAAGTGGGCGTGGGGCCCATGTTTTGTCTCCGTTTGTAGACAAAGCGCCACGGTCCGCTGGCATGGCGCTGTGGTCGGTGCTCCTGTGGCAGCAGGCGGGGTGGCCGGGGCGATCGTTAAGGCCAGAGAGCGCATTGGAAACCCGTGTCTTCTTTTCGTTTGACTCTTGGGGGTTGCAAGCATAGGGAGCCAGTTCCTTTTGGTGACCAAAAGATGGTCAGGTTGGCACATTCGAAGCGTTTCCGAACCAACGTTTCGACCGGCTTATACTTCACATCAGCTGTTTTGCACCAATTTCAAGCGGGTTCAACCCTTCTGGGCTTCTTTTTAGGGGAAGCAAAGAAAAAGCCAAGAGCTGCCGGGTTGTCCCACGCGTTGGTTACACTCGGCTATGCCCTTTCGTTGCACCCGGCTGGCCTTCCGGTCCCAGGCGGCCGCTTTTGCGGTGCCCTGCAGCTTCGAGGTGCCGCGGCTTGGCTGCAGCGAGCCGCGTGGGAGCGGACGGCGGGAGCTCGTCTTGTTCCCTCGTCTTTTCAGGCTTCGGGGGGCCTGGGACACTGTTGGCCCCGTGGTTCCCCCCCCTTTTTGGGGGGCTGTGACAAAAAAGGTCCGTTGCGTAAACCCCCCTCCCCATGTTTTTGTCCTCCAAAGGGCCCAAGTTGAAACTAATACACGTGGTCGGCTGATTTCCCTCAGACCGCCGTTTGGGCAACCTCATGAGAAATGAGGCGGAATCATGGCGGACATCTTTTCTTCGCGAAAAGGAGAGCTAGCGAAAGCCGGGGTGAGGAGTCCGCCGGAAGTCGCGCCGTTCTCGACAGGTTCCGCGATTGGGCGGCTCCGGGCCCCGGGAGCAGTTGCAACCCAGGCGCCAGCTGAGTGCGACGGCCGCGATGTGTGTTGCTGGTCGGGAAGCCTCCGTCGGACCAGTTTGGCAAGCAGAAAAGCCAGGGGCCCCGGCCCAATCTTACGAAGAGAGGTCGAGACGTTCGGATGGTACTAGCTGGACTTGCTGGGCAGCCGATGGAGCGGTGTTGACCTGTAGCAGGATGTAGTCGCTTTCCTTTCCTCTCGAGCAGAGGCTCCAGATATCACGAAATTGGTGTGTCTCCCAATAAGGATCCCGAAACAGGTGGTTTTTCTTTGGTTTTACCGTGGCGTTCGGTGGTTTTTCTTTAGTTTCCTTTTGGATTCCCTTTGGTTTCCCTTTGGTTCTCTTCAACAAAACACCAGCAAGGGAGCACTCATGAATTGACGACATGCCCTATGTTTACTGTCCAACATGTCCACCAGCGCACAGCTTTTGCTAGCCCGTATGAATGTCAGGATAAAAGTTGGAACATATGCCGCCAGCCAGGATGCTTTTTGCCAGCCCGTCATTCCGTGCCTCAACTCACCTATCACTCAAAGCTTTTGCGGGGCAATCAAGCGGTCCCTTGTGTCTGCAGCGAATGAATGGGAACCTGGTGGCAATAAACCTGGCTTGATAGGGGTGCAGAATCAGAGAGAACCCTTCACTTGAGGGGAACCCGCCCGCTATAAACGAGGGTAAGGGTTATGAACCCAGGAGATGGTTTACACCTCGCCTCTTTGGCCAAAAGGTGAGTTTCCTTCAAGGGTGATGTTGTGGGGGCTAGAAATGCAGGGAGCCCTATGCAGAACCTTGGGAGCGACCCAGGTCTTGGGCCCTGCAGTTTTCCTCCACTTGGATGGTCTGAGGTTGGTTGGACATTGTCACTAGTTTTAACAGAACCTTTGACTGGGTGTTAACTCGAGGTTTGCGTTGGGGGTCAGGAGGGGTACTTGGATGTTCAACCAAATGGTTAACTTAGTAACCATGGTTACAATGGTAGCCATGGTTAACTTAGTTGCTATGGTTACCATGGTTACAGACATGGTTATTTGAGCCATGTTAAGCTAGCAACCATGGTTATGACGCTGGTGGAAACCAACGGGTAACTGGGGCTGATCGTCCCCCAAGTTGGTTGAACATCCACGGGCCCGGGGTCGACGACCGGCCGCCTCTTTCGCGAGCCGGAGGGGCGCTCGTGGCATGCGACGCAGACGCGGACTGCGCCGCTCTGCCGAAGACCTGCTGCCCGCACTACGGGCCCGGGCCCGCGACAGGTGGGGGGGGGGGGGGGTTCGAGGGTTCTGTGTGCCCCGGATAGGGTCCTGCACTTGGGGATGCCCTCCAACCAGCTATTTTTGTGGTTGTGGGTTTCTGCTCTTCTGGTTTTGCACTTCGACAGGTGGATGGTGTGTGTTTCCATTCTCTTCACTTATCGCTCTTTTGGGAAGCCTCTGAAAAGCACTTTTCACAACTGGCGGAAGAGGCCAGAGCCCGGGCACGGGTGGGTTGCTCGATACATTCAGGGGGCTCCCTTCGAAAGAAGCCGGGGGCTTGGTGAATGGCCTACGCCGGGTGGGAGTGGCCTGCATGGATCCTTTCAGCACGCGTCGCTTGGAGTAGGTCCGGAGGATCGAGGGGGCTATCCCGAAATTCGAGGGTCGTGCTTTTCTAGGAAACGGTTTGGATGCAGCTTTTGTGGATCCACCCTTGTAGCGTAGCAAAAGAGTACTAAAAGAGTATTAAAAAAGTATTAAAAGAGTAACAACTAGCCAAACAACATGGGGAAGCCACAGGAAGCGCATCCACTCCGTTTGCTGGACCTTTGGTTTGAGAGCTATATGCACGTATTGCTGGGTGAACCAGAACAGAGGCCCTCCCTCTAGGCACACAACGCCCAGGTGTGGGGCGTACCTTAACAAATGAAGCAATAAACACGTTAATCAATGAACGCAATAACCATCAACAAATAGGTGCATGAAATGGAATGGAATGGCATGGAATGAATCAATGAATGAATGAATGAATGAATGAATGAATGAATGAATGAATGAATGAATGAATGAATGAATGAATGCATGAATTAATGAATCCATGAATTAATAAATGAGTGAGTGAGCGAGTGAGTGAATGAATGAATGATTGAATGTTTAAATTAATGAATGCATACATAAGCAGGATACATGCAAATATTGAATCAGTCAATACGCAAATAGATAGCTTGATAGAACAACGAATATCCAATCAATTGGGTCAACAAATGAATAACTAGATATCTAAATAGATATGCAAACAAGCACATACATGAACACATTATTAGATTGATAGATGAATGGATGGATGGATGGATGGATGGATGGATGGATGGATAGATAGATAGATAGATAGATGAACTCAACAATTAAGTACATAGATCAAACTCACAATACACCGATCAATACGTACATAAATATGTGAATGAATCAATTAGACCATTAAACAACTACATAAACAGGTATCGAAACAGATGAATACACCCATAAACAACTACCCATATATATATATATATTGGGGTCCTACCACATATATATATATATATCTACCTATAAATAGGTGTATAGATGGATCAACAAACTAAACAATGGATACACTTCAGACAAACACATAGACAACTACACAAATGCAGAACTGGACACATGATTCCATGCATAACCAATCATTTTTTGAAATATACATTCTTGAATAAGTGACTACGTCGATAACCAGATAGGTCAACAACAAAAAAACACTGACAAAATGAGCAACCACGTAAAATCAGGAACTGCATCAACAACAAACACATCCACACACACACACACGTAGCTAAACAAGCATATAACCAGTGCCTAGAATGTTTTTTTTTGGGTTAAGCTGGCAAACACGTCTCCTTGTCCGCTCGGCCAGGCTGCGACTGGCTGCGGTGCCTGGAAGTTGGACAGAACGGGGGGTGGCTCGGGGAAGATTTGGCCGTGGGATCGGTTCGTTGGGATAGAAATCGATGGGTTTCCTTTGTTGGCACCAATTTAAAGGGAAACCAAAGTAGATCGGTTGGTTGGGATAGAAACTGGGTCCCCCAACTTAGTGCCCTGAAAACCAACTTTTTTTGGTTGGGAGGGTTCCCCTACTAAAATAGACTGCAGAGAAGGGGTACCCTTATTTCCAGCCTCTCTACTGGAGGACCTAGGGAATAGATGGCTTCCACGGTTCCACTGGTTTGGAGTGGGGCTGTCTGCCCCATTTACCAGGGAAATCCACATCGTGCATGTTGAAGGCCGCCGTCATACCCCCATGTCAAGCCGCTGTTATTGCTTTCGGAGTTGGCACTGGCGTCCTATCTCTTATATAGTCATGTACCCCATACCATTGATTTCAGACAGCCATTAGACTAGTAAGATTCCAGCACAGTTTCGACCGAAGGGAAGCTACGGGTTAAGCCAAAGGGAAGGCCATATGGTTTTGAGGTCTGGGTTCAGCCCTTTTTGAGTTAATAAACCATGCGTAGACGGCAACTGGTAGCCATTCTGATATGACAACGGAACCCACGTCAACGGCTAGGACGGTTGCAGCCATGAGCGTGAGAACCGGGACCTTCCGCCTCTCGCTCCCCGGGAGACACCGGCGGGAGGACCTCCCTTCGCACGCGTCGCAGCGAAGCTTTGCGGGATGCGGCGAGAAGCCCCTGCCGGGCCCTCCACCGCAGCAGGCGTAGTGGGAAGCATGGTAGTGGTTCCCTGTGCAAGGTACTCTACAGTTTAACATGGAACCTCCAAAAGCCGCCAATTGTTGGAGGAAATGCGAACCTTCGGCATAGGGAAAACAAGCCCAAGGGAACTGGGACACGACCGATTCGGGTGCCTTTCGAGCTCTCGGAGGACCTCTTCGCGTGTGGATGGACGAAATCCGCTTCTCGAAACCCTGAAATGATGCTCTGCAAGTACGAAGAATGGTTTCATCCATGGTTTCAAAGTGGTGCTGGATTTCGTCCATCCACGGTATGCGGAAGAGTAATGCTTAGTATTTTCGAAGAATGCCTCTCCATTTGTCTCGAATCTCACCTACAAGCAACTCGCTTGTTGTAGTATTCTCCATTGAAAGAAAAACCAGTGCGGAATCTTTAAGTCGAGCTGATCAGGGTGTTTGGCCCACGAGTGATGGCAGGATCGACCCATTAATGCCAGACCGTGACTATGCGTGCTCGGATCTAGCACAAGCCACTAGTTTGCGGCGGCTCATGGGGGGTGGGTTTTTGCAGCGTTTTTGCGTGCTCTTCAAAAAACAAGGGGCCGTTAATAGTAGTGGAGGGGGAGAACCCAAGTCTACTTGATATTTTTGATCACGCCCCAAAAAGATTGCCCACTGGCGGAGTGCTTTTGGGCTCTTGAGCATGGTAGACACACTGAACGGAGGGCTCTGTCTTTGGGACTGGCGTGCTTTCCTTTGGCCCTGGCGTGATTGACATCGCCTCGTTCCGCTTAACCCTGGCTTTGTGATTTGGGGCGGTGATTGTTTTGGTTTTGGCGAAGCTTGGACTCACCCGGGTCTGCTTCACGCGGGCTTAGCCTTCGAAGTACCATAATGTAGCCTTAGTGGTCAATATGCGCCGTCATTCATCTCAGAACAGCTCGCCGAATTCCCCAAGTACCAATCTCGTATTGAATATTGAGCGACCCATGTAAGTTTGAGCGACTTTGACGCGGGCCCACGCGTTGAGTCTGGCGTAGGCAGCTGCCAGCCACCGGGGATTTGCGGAGTGGAGCTTGGCACTGGCAACGCGGGGTGCTTCAGCAACAGCACTTGCAGCTTGGTTCAAAGGGTCGGATCGGGGAGGCGCGCTGGTCACTTCCAGGTTCTTCAGGATCTGTTTGTGTTTTCCCCTGTCTCTGTCACTACTGGACATTATTTTTTTGCAGGGGACGTATTCGCAAAAGTTTAGTGGATTACGGATGGAGTCCACTAGTCGGCCTGGTAGGAAGTGAGCGAGAGGTGGGTGTGGGTGCTTCTTGCTTGTTCCGGAAAACTCCGCGCATCTCTTCTAGAAGGAGCAGGAGGCGCTTGACATGTGGCTTTTGCTTGAACCTTGCCCGGTCAAGACCTCATGTGTGGTCACACGGAACCACAAAGCCGCATGGACGGTTTAAAGTTTAAAGAAGAATGCCCGCGCATTTTTCAAGCAGCGATTGGTTGTCCCAACTCGACCACGGCATTTCGAGTGTAAATCCCAGGCTCCGACCCTTCGCCTGTGGCACCCAAGCTCGCCTGTGCCCTGACCGCACGTCGCACGTTTTTTGAGCCGAAGCCGCCGGTTCTTTTTTTTCCTTCACGTGGGTAGACGATTTGGATAGCCCCTCCTTCTTTTTGTTGGCCGGTCGAAAGATTCTGGCTAACGACTTGGTGAAGCCTGATCGAAGCCCCTTCCTTTGGAGCACCGCTGCTCAGTGATTCTGCTTCCGAAGTTGTGACATTGAGCTGGAGCTTTGCTTCGAGTGCTTGCCTAAACAGTGGGATGAACACCAACGGAGCTTTTCGCTGGCCAAATCAACTGCAGGTCACAAGTGCATGAGACAAGGGTCCGGACAAGCCTGGAGGGCTTGACACCATAGCTGCTAAGAATTGGGCCACTCCAAGAACAGTAGTTCTCGGTCAAGCCGCCCTCACTCCTAGACAAGGACTCTTACCCAATGTAAAATGCCGCCGCAAAGGGATCGGGTGAAACATGCGCAAACAACACGTTCCAAAGTTGGCTTGGAGCGCTTCTGTTTTGCTGCTTTCACTTGCCCTCTTGTTGTTTTATGCGAAGTTCCTCCAATCTGCGCAGTGCAGGTTTGGAATTACACCCGCACGCCAGGGATCCTTAGCAAGGCCTCATCAAGCATGCGATGTTTCCTCCCAAGCACTTAGTGGGATATTTTCTTGGGTGGGCTTCCTTGGGTGGCTTCCCCTCCATGCTCCAGGTTATCCTGAAGGTCACTCGGTTGCGGAGATCGTGGTGTGAGCCGAGGTGAGCCGGTTGGAAGGCCAGCAAATTGTGCAGGTAGACGCCCTGTTTCCAATTTGGGTGCGAGCCTCGCTCCATCTCGCTAGCTGCCCTTCTCTGATTGGTACTCGCCATCCGAGCTTGGCATTGTCCCTTTGAAAGGTGAGGGCTGAAGGCTGAATGGGCCAACGCCATGACCAGGACCCTTTTGTCCAGGTGGATCTGCGAGTTTCGTTTGCGGCGGGGGGGGGGGGGACGGAGAGATCGCAGACGGCAGCCTAAAGAGGCAGCGCCAATCGCGATGGCGGCGGAAAAATCAACGAGCGCCAAGTGTCAAGCAGTTTTCACCGATGCAAAGACCCAACAGAAAACATGTATTTGCACATAGTTCTCCGCAACTTTTGCATATCACACAGCAGAGGCAGACTTGGGGCCGTATTTTAGCAATCTCCCATAGACATCAGTCCTTACGATGGGATGGGCAATGGGCTTCAAGGATCAGACATTGGCTCGCAATGGCGCCTGTCGGTCCGTACCAGACAGCTTTGCGTTTTGGGACAGAGTATTGTCAGGGCAGAGTGATTTGGCTGGCAAAGTATTTGTCACCCGCTTGGCCGGAAAAATCCACGCGTCAGGCGAACATGTCCCATGTCAGTGGCGCCGCCCAAACCTTTGGTGCCCGGGGGCGCAGAACTTTTGAGGAGACTTGCCAGGGCCGTGGGGATTCAAATCGAAATTGGTTTTGCAGCCTCACACAGCACTCGACCAGCTGCTGAGGGCAACGTCCACACTCGACCAGATGATGCTGGCTTTTGCCGAATATCCTTTGGATTTTTTCCGTGGAAGGGGGCATGATTCTTTGGTCGCTTTTTGTGTCCCTCAAAGCGTCCCCGAAGGAGACCCTGTATATGACACCTCACAAAGGCAAAAACCGGCATGCGATCACGTCCAACTTGACTTCGTTGGAGGGGTCCCAACCAAATTCCCTCGGTGGTTTTCTAAGCATCAGCTTTTCGCCAGGCGAGTTGTTCTTGAGGAATCGGGGTGAAGTTTAGGCACATAATATGGAATCCTGAAGCAATTGGACAAGAAGCGCGAATCCTTCCCTTTATGTTGCTTAGCAGATCCCAATAGCCCTTGCGAGGCTCCGACAGGCTGTAGCTCAATTTTCTTTGCCATCCCTTCCTGAGGCTGGAAACGGGACTCAAGCTGCAACCTCGCGCACGGACCCGAAAAGGTGAACTCTTTGGACTGCAAACGTGGAAGTGCACAGCACCCCTTTTGTTGCAAAAATCAAGCTGTCTTCCAAGAGGCGTCTGCGCACTTCCTTGATTGTTCGAGAGAGGGTACGCAACGACCAAAGCACAACACAACCAAAGGTCAAAACGTCGGTTCTCTTGGGGTGAGTGAGTTTGGCATTTTGGGCAAACACCATCGGAGGCTTGTTTTCCTTCTACCCTCTCCGTCTCTCGCATCATTTTGTTGGTCAGACGCGACTAATAAACTTTCGGAAGCCAGATGCGAGCGCTATTTGCGGGACCATGGCACAATTCATTTGGGCAATAAACACCACTTCGCGTTGGGGGTGTGTTTTGCTGGGATGACCCACACATTGCCGAGGCCTGGAATTCTGATCCCGACCTCGTTCTGCGGTGGAACACTTTGGTGGGGGGTCCCAGCGGGGAGGGCGGTGGTGACTTCCACGGGGCAAGGCTGCTGGACAAGACGAGGGCAGCTTTGCAAAAGCATCAAAGAGAACGAGATTGGCTCGGCAACATGACAACATGACACACTTGGGAATGCCAGCCATGAACATGCGCTTAGTGACTTAGTGCTTTGTTTCAAGAATCAAAGTCAACAAATTCCTTTGGTTAAGAGTTTGAGACTCTGAGCATCGCAGACACCTCCGCCCAAACAACGAACCAAAGTTTCTTATCCCAAAAGCCGCCACAGCTTTTCAAGTTGCTCACTCATTCAGCAGCAAGTATTACTGGCATAGCGTTACGCACTGTGTCGTGGCAATCTTGGCCATGTCATCTTTGTCGACCTATTCACCGCGCCAAAGCTAAGTGGAAGCTCAAGCGATTGCTGGACCCTTAACAAAGTCAGAGTTACATTTGCTTAATGGGCATATGTTTTGGTTTATTATTTGGCCGGGGCCCGTTGCCCAAAAACAAGTTCAGTTTTTCAGGCAGATGGGCCCGCTGACAAGGTCGACGCTAAGAAACTCAGTGTCTCAGTGTCTAGTTTGGGCAGATGGGCCTGATGCAGAAAAAGCTCCCTGCCCAGAAACCTATAGTGTAGGTTACATGTGTATGTAATGTATGTATGTAATGTAATGTCATGTAATGTAATGTAATGTAATGTAGTGTAGTGTAGTGTAGTGTAATGTAATGTAATGTAATGTAACGTAATGTAATGTATGTATGTATGTATGTATGTAATGTAGTGTCATGTATGTATGTATGTATGGTATGGTATGGTATGGTATGGTATGGAATGGTATGGTATGGTATGTATGTATGTATGTATGTATGGATGTACTGTATGTATGTAATGTATGTATGTAATGTATGTATGTATGTATGTATGTATGTATGTATGTATGTATGTATGTAATGTATGTATGTATGTAATGTATGTATGTATGTATGTATGTATGTATGTATGTATGTAATGTATGCATGTATGCATGTTGGTATGTATGTATGCATGTATGTAATGTATGTATGTAT